CCGGAAGAAGATGCCCATCACGGCCACTCTCATTCTCAAGCGCTGTCAAGGCGAATAAAAGAAGCCGTCTATCCGGTCCGCCTCCTCCCCCCCCATCGACTGCCCTCCGATATCGAAGCCGCAAGTTTGATTCTGTTCGTCGGCATCTGGCATCCAGCTGGCCATCGCCACCCCGTCCTGCCCAAGGTCCCCACAAGCACTGCGCTGAAAATGCGACTTTCTACTACTACGTACTACTACTAACCTAATCACCGATCCTCGCACCAATTCATGCATTGCACCGCATTCGCCATCTCCTCTCTCTCTCTGTGTTGGCTTCTGGTTACTAACTGTTGCGCTTTTATTCAATTAGCTCGAAAACTTGCGACTATGGTTGCGCCGGCCGAGCCGCGGGCCAGACCGATCGAGGCATGAGGCTCCCCAGGTCTAGACTTGTCCAGACTCTTCCACTTTTGTCGTCGTAAAAGCATTGCATGCATACAGGCATACCACATTGCATACGATATTACACACACTTTCGTACATTCTGCAGCCAAGAGCTGATGGGAAATCCCACTTTCGCATGGTCCAGATCTTTTCATTCTACACGGGCTGCCTTTCTTTTTTTTTGTCTCTTCCTTTTGCCGCGGCTGCTTCTCGCCAAGGGAGTCTCGGCCGTAACTTGCTGCAAAGCGGCTATAGTTGCCGACTCTGTGATGCTTTGATCGTGTAGGATGACCAGGATACATACAATACAATGAAACATGCATCTGATGATAATACGCACGTCTCTCCAACAAAAAGACTCAGAGGCCGGACCGACGCCAACAAGAAGAAAGAAAAGAACCACGGCGTCTCTCCCAAGCTGTCAGCTTTCTCTTCTTCTTCTTCTTCTTCTGCTTCTTCTTCCTCTTCTTCTCCTTCTTCTTATTCACTCCCTTGAGCCATCTGACTATTCTCGACCTGCGCTAACAACTGCCATCTGAGCCTCCCCTCCCCCCCTGCAATCAAGATCCAGCAGTCCCATCACGAGGCGGGAAAGTAGGTACCAAAGAGAGAGAAAAAAAAAAGGACCAGCTTCTAGACTCCGGATATCCAGCGCTTGTTGCTGCTTGGGCACTGCCCGCCCGACCCCGTCGCCGACCGTTGCAAAGCCCGCAGCCCCGGTCCTCGCAAAAGGACAACGACGGGTCTAGGCCCGCGGGATGGAAGGCTGGAGAAACGGGGACGGACGCCTCTTTTCTTATGTTTTCCTTTTTTTCTTTTTTTTTCTTTCTTGTTCAGGCGATGTCGCTTCTGGCTTGCAGCTCCATACCCTATTACTACCTACTGTGAATATCAAAAGTAGAGTATTGCTGTACGTACTACTACCGCAGAGCCGAGATGATGCCCGACTGGAGACTATCTTGCCGTAGTCCGTCGTAGCTCAAAACTTATTCACCTCTTCTTCGTCCCGTGGCCGATAGCTTCCCGATTCCGGGCTGCCGAGCTGCCATTGTGTGTGTCTTCTTTCTTGTCTTTTGCCTGATGCCCGCGTCTTCCCATCGAATTATAAAAAAAAAAAAAAAAACCACTTCGAGAGACGGGATACAGAAACATACTTTGGCCGAGCAACTTCTAGTCTGCTCGCTACTAGGTAGTCGGCAATGCCTATTTCCTTGGCTCCCCTTTAGTATTACAGTCAGACTTCTCGGCAGCGAAAACCTATTCAAAAAAGAAATGTCTCGAGATGGGTAGTACTAGCAAACCACCACCCCCCTCAATGCGTATCGTATCTTGCTGTTGGACGGGGGGGCGCTTCGTGGTCCGACGGGACGGCACACTCCCCCACCGCCTCAACTATCGATGCTGTGTTACACTACTTCCTACCAACGTTTGGGTTTATTGAGATATCCGGTATAGTGAGGGGGGGGGGCTTACACTTTGCTTACACTTTTTTTTTTTGGTTCTTGTCTTGAGGGTATCGTGGGCTATGCGTGTTATCTGATTCGACTTTTCCTCCCATGTCGCTTGGAGTTAACCTTTGTAGCTAAAAGCCAGCCGGAATTCCAGCCACGCCTTGGCAAACTGAACGTATCGTACGTCCCATCCAAGGGGCGTATCGTTCTTTTTCATGTCCGCAACGGGGGAAGTGGGCACAATTGGGCTCCTCGTTCAAAGCATACATACGTACGTACATACATACATACATACATACATACATACATACATACATACAGCATCGGTTTGGCATCTACTCACATCGAAATACTTCCACAGTGAAGACGAGAACTCATGCATGGCAAAGTTACGGTTCGCTAGTATTAGTATTTAACAACTCGGCCCCTGTCTGCCTGCACACACACACACCCCCTCACTCAACGGTCTGGCCCGAGGGACTGACAGCTGTTCGCATGTTCCGGGCCCCCATATCGTTCGTTCCTTTCCCCCCAGATCGGTTCAGACGGCGCGGTCATCGGACGATCTACAAAGTTCCATGCGGGAGAAGTCCACAGGGCAACAGCTGCAAAAAGGATGAAATGGGCTCCAACATCGTAAGTTGGCTTGTCAATTTGTGTCTGTCTGCGGCTCGTCCGGGAAGCGAAACGTGCAAGGGCCCTGCCGTGTGTGTGTGTGAACCAAAAACGGCCGTTCCGTTCCGGGCCTTGTCCGGATATAATGCGATGGGCAGGCTTTCGCACAGCCGTCATGTTATATGATTTTCGTGATATATGAGATCTATCCAACTCTGTTGTGGACGAAATAGGCTGTAGATTCGCATGGAGAACAGGTAAGAAAAGAGGTGTGTACTATGCAATGCAATGCACGCAGTCAGAAGAAGACGGGACGGCAAAAAGGAAGCAAAAACCGTGCGAGGTCAAAAGCAGCAAATACCTTGTAGTAGCATGGCCAAGAACATGTCTGTAGCCATCGTGGCTGATGATACTCGTAAGCAACAAACACGCACTACAGACGGTGGGAAAAAAAAGCGCAGGGGTCTCATTTTCCCATCTCCAGCTGTCAGCTTTCGCCCGCTTCTCACCAAGGCGGCCACTAGCAGGATGATGGGCTGCCAAATCGCCCGCTCTGCGCCCTGGGTTCCGCGCGGGCTTCGCTTGCGGGCTGTTGCTATTCGTGAATGCTTGTTCTGTCGCAAGGGGTAGGAGAGAGGGGGGGGGGGGGGGGGGGGGGATTTGTTCTTGTTCAGCTGGCTGCTTGCATATACGCGAACTCAAGGGTCTTGCAATTTTGGGGATGAGATCCGCTGGGGTCTTGGTCATGGTCACCGGGGGGTTGGAGTTTGTTGGACGTATGAATGTTTCTCTAATCTGGAACTGATTTGATATCTCAAGGCCAGGTAAGAATGACTCATCGGAAGTAATGGAGGGCAATGCCCGGCCGGAGGACGCGAGGGCAGGTAAAGATATTAGTCGGCTATCAGCCCCCTTTGGTGATGCCCGTGCCGCGGTGGGTTTCGCCACTCATCTTCTCAGTGCTTGCGGTCATGCTGCACGCGTGGACTCGTCGTGGCTTTGAGGCATTGGCGATTTTCTCATTTAGAAAGGGCGTGTGATGACGGGCTTTGAGCGATTTTGAATTCATGCTGAACAGTGAATGATGGCTAACCTTCTCTGTGTTCTGATGCCCTTTCGGGACATCTAAGCGTGTTCTCGCTGACCGAGTGTGTCAGAACGAAGTTTCTCGGCAGAGAAGTCAATTCTGAATCTTGCTGCGTATATCTGCTTTGTTAGGGAAGCTTATTAGATTGGTCTCGTCCGAACGATGTATTCCCGGTAGGTTGAAGAATTGAAGTTGCCTACTGACAAACCCGTCTTACCGCTTATGCTGCCCAACATGTTTAACCTTCTTTGACGTCTTATGGTTCTGGACGGGACCTGTCTGATAGTCTTTTTCCGGCGGTTGAAATGGACGGGCTTTGGAGCGGTAGCTCTAGTAATACTTGTTTGGGCGTAATCCATCCTGTTGCGTGTCTTACTTGCATTGCATCTCCAAAAGGGCTCACCTCCCAAGACTTGGGGTGCAAAGACTTTTGCGCGTGCCTCTCACTGCTCTTTGAGCAGTGTCTGCTGTCTGCCTTGTTTAAATCTTGACGTACGTATAGTATGATAGTTTTTATGGAAGTACTGCATTGTGATGGTACTCGTGAGACGTCAGCGCAAAGAGACGTCCAATGCTCCGCGCTACAGCAAACCACAGTGATAGTCTTGAAAAACATTTCAACCACCACAAATGCATACATTAGCTTTACATATCGGATGCGTATAGCTATTAGCAGGTGATGTCGTGAAACAACGCCCTTTGTCGCCGAGATGCAGAAGTGTCCTCGTTGACGGTCAAGTCTCTCGAGAGTCATGACGGCGAGTCCCCTAAGGATCCCTTTAGAGTCTTGATACCACTCTTACAATTTTCACTCTCGCATTCGAGAGCAACAATCTATGAGAGCCACTGGCAAACTCCTGCATGCATTCCATCGTAACTCCAATGCAATTTTAAGAAGGGAGCGGGATTTTGATACACTTGGGAAGCTGGATCCAAGTTTGAGTGCTGGCTAGCCGCCCCTTTGACCTACTGCCAGACTCTGCCTCAAGCATAGGTTTTTCGCCCAGGACGAATGTTACATTTAGGTGGTAATTTGTAGTAGCATACTGTTCTTGGAAGCATTCTTACGAGCGGCTCTAGCATGTCGTCGTAAAGGTTGCAGGCGTATAACCTCTCCTTCGGTCAGTCACCAACCTCAAAGGTCAACAGGATCGCGCACTAAACTTGCTGGCTATATGCCTCACGTATTCCAACATAGCTGCCTTGGTATCGACTTGCTTCCCGGAAGTACCCTCAGACTGCTCCCTGGTATGCTGTAACAAGGGCATTCAGTTCGAATGACTGATGCCTTGCCGTGACAATGCGGATTCAACAGGGGCATAAAATCATGATATTATCTAGACAGCGACTACCAAGGCTTCTGATTTGATCAAGCGAAAAAGAATATTCACAGGCCCTTCATGTGCGCATGTATCCAAGCATAGATCCGTAATATAATTTTCATCCATCATAATGCATCAGTCAAGGTACAAAAAGAAAGTGGTATCATATCACCCAATCTCCATCCATCACGCCCTCAAGGGCACTCAAAATTCTTCAAATTAGGCACTTCCAGCATCCGTCTGCTCCGCATTCTGATCATGGTACAGCTGAGGGCAGGGACCAGTCTTCTGGAAGAAGACATAGCGCTTGAACCACCACGGCAGCACCTCGGTGAGCTGGTATTTCGCGTGTCGGCGGTCCGAAACACCAAAGACGTAGTCGAGCTCTTCGAGGGTCTTCTGCTTCGTCTCAGGGACAAAGAGGAAGATGAGGGCGAGGGCGATCAGGTTCAGGCCGGCATAGAAGCTGAAGGCTCCGGTGGCGGTCATGGCGGTCAACATTCGGGGGAAGGTCAGAGAAAGGACAGAGGCCCAAAAGTTGTTCGTGGCAACAGCCCACGACATGCCAATCTCACGATGGGACAGAGGGAAGACCTCGGCAGAGTACATGAACGGGACGGGGCCCTCGCCTGTTGATCAGTCAGTAAATGATTGTGCATTGTAAAGGGTCGGAAAAGAGCGTACCTGGTGAGTAGAAAGCGGCAAACAGGTAGACAAAGGTAGCGACGGTCGCGATTCTGGGGGTGCTGTTGACGACATCAGGCTCGATGAGATAGCAGAGACCGGCGGCTGTGGAAGTTAGCACACGATCGAACAATTATATGGGTTGTAACATACCAAGTAGAGTCCAGAACATGTTGGGGAAGGTAAAGAGAAGAAGGGCTCGTCGACCAAAGGTGTCAATAGTCCACACGGCAGGCCAAGCAAACAAGAAGTTGATGATGCCGAAGCCGAAACTGGCCCACAGAGCGGTGTAGTCGGAGATGCCGCTCTGCTTGAAAATGGTGCTAGAGTAGAAGGAGATGATGTTGATACCGCACATCTGCTGGGCAATCATGACGATACCAGAGGCCCAGGTGGCGCGGCGGATGCGAGGGACAGTGAAGAGCTCAATGAAGCGTGTGAACATGTTGTTGGTCACCTTGAGGCCGGCCTTTTCCACAAGAAGCGCCTCCTGGTCCAACAGGCATTGGATGTAGTAGAGGTCTCTGGCGGCCTGAATGGGGTTGTTTCGAAGTCGCAGGAGTGATTTCCAGGCCTTCTCGTGCTTTCCCTTCTTCATGTACCATCGAGGGCTTTCGGGGCAAAAGTACGTGCCGATGACGAGGGGAACAGCGGGAATGAATGCAGACGCAAGCTGGAGGCGCCAAGCAATGTCGCCGACTTTACCAACAGCGAGGTTGGCACAAGTACCCAAGAAGATACCGAACGCAGTCCACACTTGCCAAGACATGACAAGACCACCTCGAATGGAAGGAGGGGCGTTTTCGGCGGAGAAGACGGGGACAGTCACTTCCTTCAAGCCCATTCCAATACCGAGGAGCATACTAGCAGACGTCAGCAGCTGACCTATCATGAAAGTCGTCGTGTTTTACATACCGACAAGCAGCCAGTTGTCCCCATGTCTGGGAGAGGGCCATGCCAAAAGGAGCGAGGAGGGAGAAGATGGCGCCCAGGAAGATGGTACCGCGGCGACCAATCCAATCGTTGAGGGGATCGGAGATCCATCCGGCGCTAGGAGATGTAAGCATTGCATCCACGATGAAAAGGGTGACGGCTAACATACAATAAGCAGATTGTGATGTAAGGCAGAGAGTTGACGAAGCCGATGATCCAGCTGTTCGTGGCACATTGGCCGGCGTTGGCATCGGGACCGCAAGACGAGCCAGCGCTGTCCGGAATACCAAGAGCCTCAGGGAAAGACAAGTTGGCGCCGTTGGAGCCAGTCTACAGGCGGGTTAGAAAGCGAAATAGGAAAGGCAGTTCGGATGCTTCACTCACCTGATCCCAACCTTGAATGGCGGCAGCAATGGAGCTGAGACCAATGGTGTAGTAGAGAGCCCACGGGTGCTTCCATCGATGTGTCACTTCCTCTCTCAAGGCTCGCTTCTCCTCCTCGTCCAGCTCGTTCAGGCTCTCAAAGCCGGCAGGGTTCTGGGCGACGAGGGCTCCCTTCTCCAGGAGAGGGAGGATGTCGTTGGGCAGACCCTTGGAGCGGTGGAAATCTCGGACATTGGCGAAGAGGGTCTCTCGAGGGATTCCCTTCAGGGGGTTGCGGATCTCGCCTTCGAGGTTGTCGGTCAGAGCAGCAAGCTTTTCGCCAGTAGAGTCGTGGTGGACGTGGACCCTATGAGGAGAAGCGTGTTAGTCAACCGCAACCGCGGCGAACAAGACACGTGAGCGGCAGCAATGTCGGACGCGTTGACTTACATCTTCTCATTGTGCTCGGGATAGGCCACGTCTGCGGCAATCTTGTCGTCCGAAGCCATTGTGCTGTAGCCACGTGGTGGGCGGGCGAGTCAATGATTCACAGACTGACACGAGGAGGAGAGACACCAGTTCAAGCAGCCGCCGCTAGGAAGAAAGAAGGAGAAAGAGAAGAAGCGCTGTGCCCTGCATGAAGCAAAGGTTTCATCCGAAGATGGGCGAGACCGCGTCGATATATACTCGTCTGCGTACCGTCGTACGGGACACGCCTGGATCAGCCACGGGCAATTCCATGCAGGCCCCCATGGCCAAGGCCGTTGTGCCACCACGACCAATCTCTCCGGCCAGACTTGCGAGAACAGGGAGCCATTCTGCAAAAATTTGAGGGGCCCCAGACAGAGACCGGGATCGTCTCCTCACAGCAGGCCACTGTTGGCCGGTTTGGGGAAAGAATCTGGAGGATTGAGCTTGGGGTTGTGGAGGCAAGAGTGGCTTCGGTTGCGGCCCCTGCACCTGATCATTGTGGAGGGAACAGGGACGAGGGACGAGCGAGGGTACAAAGAGGGCAGCTGCGATGATATCCGAGAGACAGAGCCGTTCGACCAGGCTCTAACACGAGGCATCGCCAAGTCGCCGCACCACTGCACGGCAGTTGGGACAACTCCCGTTAGTCTCCGGCTTCTTTGCCAAGTATCTGCCAAGTACCGGCCCGGCTAAAGCCTCGCGCCAGCAGGTATAGCACGCAGGTAGGGCAAGTACAGCCGGAGGATTTTGATGTCACAGACTCGCCAGGAAGGGGCAAGGCGCGCACGAGGCGTCAAATGGGAAGGCGCTTGGCTCCAGCCCAAAAGCACAGATGAGGTTAGGTCTAGGCAGCAGAATAAAAATTGGCAAGGGCAACGGGCGCCGATGGCATTGAGCTTGTTTTCTGTGGCAGGTGGCGCCGGGCAGCGGTAGCCGTTTGGTTCTGGAAGATGTGAAGGAAGCAGCGGCGATGCGGTTGCTCCTGGGAGAAGGCGGAGAAGAGATAGACTTGATCCATATAAAACCACACAGGTAAAGTGGTAATGAACTTCACGGTAGGAACTTGACTACAATACAACTCTGCATCGTATGCTTAATTAGACTCCCAAGTCATGGTCGCATCTTCGTCTGCTGTGGAGGTACGCGATGGCCGCTGATGTGCAGCACACCTCCAGATTTTGGAGGAGAAAACCGCCCGCCCCCAGATGGAGATGGTCTCGTCCCCAGTGGAGTGTGGAGAGCCCGGCTTTTTTTTCTTTTGTTCTTCGTTGAGGTGGAGCGTCAGCCACTTTTCGCAACCCCTTACATGGCGGCATGGCCCAGGTGTTCCTCGACAGAGCCAAGTGGGCCTCGTCCATTGACTTTTGCAGGCGCAAATAGAACAGAAACCACCAGAGAAAAGCTTTGACTCGGGCATTGTTCGACGACGAAAACGCCTCTTCAGGCTGTTGGCCATTGGGACTGAAAGCGTGCGGTGGAGATGCGCCCACCACGAGCACACCACGTTGACAAACAAGCTGCGCATGCCTGCAGCCACGACCAGGCAATTCAACCACCAAACCGGCAGCCGGTGGCGACGATCTTTGGTCGCGATGCCCTCGCCGTTGGCCTCGCCAGCCGTCATCAAGCGGGATGCCGTATTACGGCCAAGGCCGTCAGACTGGACTACGAGCGCTTGCCGTGTGTCACATGCGATCCCAGGTCCCTCTCTATGGCTCGCACAGAAGCAGTGCAATGCGGCGATCTGCCCTCTGGTGTGATGCGACGCCGTGAGAGGGACGGCGAGAGGCATGCCGATGACAGAGGTCGCACAGACCAATATTACAGACCGCCTGGAATACAGTCAAGGGACATGAAGGTGGACCGCTGGACAAGAAAAAATTCAACATCAAACGTCCAGACTCTCGGTAGCCAGGCAGCAGTTTAAGGAATTGGGGAAATGCGGGTGGTTTGGACGCCATGTGGCTCTAGGTTCTCTCCAGATTCTCCATCTTCTCCGTATCGACGGCTCCATTTCGACTGACTGGTTAGTCATTAGCCTGCAAACGGCGACATGCCACATTACGCCTACGAGTACTGATATTACCTCTTTGTTGTCCGGGTGGGCTGTGGGCGGCCAGGCCGAAACTGACCAGGGAGATTCTGGGTGGTACGAAGGCGATCATGCATCCGAACTACTACTTCGCACACAAGACGACTCTGCATCATCTCCATTCTTGCGCCAATCTGGCAGAAGACTTCCGCAGTATGGCCGCCTGTCGTTGAGCTTCTTTCGCAACGGCGTGGATCTTCACTCTTCCCCAGACTAGCGACTAGCCCTCCCGGACTGGCTGGGGGGAGTCAGGCTCCTTGAGGGTTGCATCACCTGACTTGCGTGTTGGGAGCATTTGTCATCTTCATCGGATGGGCTCCCCAGCTCAGGCCAGCGGAAGATTGTCGACGCGGATTCGCGACAGGAGCAGCTGAGCATCACCCGCAGCCGCGGAGGCAGGGCCACGTTTGAATGGGGGCTAGCTTCAGTGCTCCCGTCGCGGGATAAAAGTTAAGTGGTGAGCTTATTGTCCAACTCTGCGCTCGACTCGATCTGTCAAGGGACAAACGCCCGCAGGAGGACAGGGCGAGATCTGACTCTCCAAGTCTCTTCACAGAGAGCCAGGTTTTGCCACCGAGCAGATAGCCAGAAGTGTTTTGTTTCAGACGCACAATGCGCGGGGAATCACATCTCAAGGCAACATGACTGGATGCCCATACGAAGCAACGGCAAGGGGCTCTTTGGATCGCCGTCTGAAATGCCCCCGGTGCCGACCAGAATGCTACGTCCATGGAAGTGATACGGCTAACACGGCCAGATGAGCCGGCGATAATTTTAGCAACCTGGACTGTCTCTGTGGGAACGGCAGCAAGGACTCGTCACTTGCAGAATAGCCTCAAAACTCCCCGAGGCGGCAATATTGGGCCTTGCCGTCGCTGCTACATACTAATCTGCGTGTCTGCTCGAGATGCCTCGCTCTTCGGCCCTAGGAAGTCGGCACTTGGAAGTTGGGCATCCGCTGGCCGAAGAACTTCTGAGTTGCGACGCAATCTTGCGTCCAGAGGGGACGGCCTGATAGCAAACAAGGGAAGCTGAGTGAGCGAGGATGTAACCATGGCGCCATGCACTCCTTGTCGAATCGCAGCCAGCAAGCAGGAAGACGGCATCGAGATAGTTTTTGACAGCGCCTTTTTTATGTACGACCATGCTGCCTCGAGGGCCTGCCCCGGATAGCCGGCATTCGGCATTCGGTAAAGGCTGGACTATCCCGATTTTTTCTTCCCATGCTGGCCTGGCTTTTTCTCAAGTACCTCGACGATGGCTCGGACAGGACAGAAGCGGGTTAGCCCGTCCAAAGTTACGTGTACCGTGGGCATTGTGCACTGTGAAATGCGCCTCCTTCATGAGTGACCCGTGATGGCCCGTCTATCAACCTGCCGCTCCCCGGATCCCAGCCAGGAGTCTTGCTCGACAAACCTTTCCACTTCTTCGCTAGACGGAGCATCTTAGATGTTAGTGCGCCTCGACGCGATGCCGACTTGTTAGACGGGCGACCCGACTTGTGTAGGCCAACCATGACGGAGCAACCGCCGCGTCCGAAGCAGGCCGCATGCCTGGTGTGCAGGCGCAGCAAGATCAAGTGCGATTGGATGCCCTACGAGGCCAAGTGTAGACGCTGCATTCACCTGAATTGCGAGTGCATCCGCCCAGAGTTCCATCCCGGCCGGCAAAAGGGCATCAAGAAGCAAGCCTCCCCCCAACACGTCAAAAGAACCCCCCTCGTACTCTATATAGATCAGCGACTGACTGGGTAGTGAAGCAAGCGGGTTGGGCTCGACAAGGCGCTGTATCAGCTGCAGCAGGCCGTCAAGCGCGTCAAGTCGGGAGAGGCACGAGGCCCCGAGGAGAGGAGCATCGTGGCCAGCCTCAGACAGTTGCTGGATGACGTAGAAGCTAATGAAGATGCGGCCGAGCACTCGTCGAGGCAGGGCTCGCGTAGCAACACGCAGGAGGAGGAGGGCGGCTCAACCTCGAGCGAGCTCGACGAGGACAACGACAACGAGAACGACAGCGCAGGCAACCGATCCATGGCCGACTTTGTGCAGCGCACCGAGGAGAGCCTGGCCATTGACGACGCCGAGAATCCTCTCCAGCTGCTGGCGCGCGCGTCCTACTTTCATCCCGGAGATCGCCGTAGCGGGAACTCGCCCCAGAACCAGCGGCAGCGCGACGCCGCATCGTCGAAGCAGGATCCCGAGTCGACCCGAGTCCAGCAGTTCTTCTCCCAGGCCAAGGTGAAGCTCGACATTGGCGAGGACCTCGACCCCGTCGACCTGGGGCTCGTCACTATGGACGAGGCAGAGTCGTTGTTTAACTAGTAAGAACAAGTTACCCTTCCTGGTGGAGCAGGCTGGGTGCTCCCGGCTTGGCAATGTGCGGGAGAAGATGGAGGTGACCAAGGAGTGAAGCACCTTGAGGCTCATGATTCGGTAGCTTTTATTCCAAGCTCGTGCACACGCGGTGGGGCCTGTCTCCCCGAGTCCATACGGCCACTTACACGCGCAGCCGATCTGCGTTCCTCTTCACGACGGTCATGGCGGCGTCTACGCTCTTCATGCCCTCTGCGGGCCCCCTCTCCAAGAGGCTGTTTAACCATGTCAAGATGCTTGCTCACAAGGTCACGAATGACAAGTACAAATCGGTAGAAATTGTCTTGGCGTTCATGACCCACATCCCCTGGATATTTCCGGGAGACCACGCAATGGACGACGAGACGTGCATGTATATTGCGATGGCGACAACCATTGCGTTTGACCTGTCCCTCCACAAGGTGCTGATGCCCATGGACGTCTTGGAGTCGTCGACGACGGTGTCAAAGGGAGAGTGTCTGGATCCCCGGACCGCCCTTGCCATTGATGGGTTCCCAGACGTAGATCCGTGGTCTGAGCAGGGCCAGCTGCTGCTGCGAGCGCGGGAACGATGTTACATTTCGCTATTTGTCGTGGAGAGAGGGTGAGTGCCGGCTTCTCCTCCCATCTTAACTCCTCGTCTGACACTGTTCTAGAATGGCATTGGCTCGCGGTAGACCTTTTATGATACCAATTACACGAAATATCAAGGATTGCGACACCTGGCATAGATCACCGATAGCAGACGAGCAGGATGGTCCTGTGGCGTCCATGGCTGTCATGAGACGCAACTTGGTACGACGGCGACTGCGATCCTGGCCTCGACAATCTCATGCTGACTCTTGCAGGATGGGCTTTTCAACACAGTTCGAGCACTTTGCGATGGCTCTCAGGCCAGCAACAGTGATGGGTTCTTGGTGGCTCGATCGTACGTCGTCACCCGAGCTCACTTAACATCGGCAGAATCACTAATCGATGCACAGGATTCAAGGAGCTATAGAAAGATTCTTCGACCAGTGGCTAGCGGAATGGGGCATGATGATTGGCTTGGGTCCTGGTAAGTCTCAGCGGAATTGGACTTGTCTAAGAGACGTCACCTGCTGACTGCAATGGCAGAACGTCGCCTCCCGCCATATGTCGACATCCTCGTCGCCCACACTCGCCTCTCGACGTACGGACGCATTATCAACCATCCGACGGCGCCTGTCGAGGTCCGCATCTTCTTCCGAACCGCCGGGTTATCGGCCGCCCTGAACGTGATGAGGGCTGCGATTCAGGGAGAGTCGCAACTGCAATCGATGCCCAACAACACGGCCATTATGATTTCGTTTGCCGCATGCTTTGCCCTGAACATTAGCGCGTATGCCCCAGACGGCTCCGGGCTTGCACCGAGCATCAGGAGGTTGATCGAAGAGGCCATTGGCGTGCTGGAGCGTATTGGCACCGTCACGCCGCACAGGAATGGGCTCTCGGTGCTGTATGGAAAGCATCTCCGACATCTGCTGCGGATATCGGGCTCGTCCAAGGGCACCCGGCCGCCCAAGGCACAGCGGACAACGCCGTCGTCGTCGGAGCCGATGCAGGACACGCCGCCGGCGCTGCCGAGCAGCTTCATGGACCAGCAGATGCTGTGGCCGGACATGGTGCAGTTTTCGACCATGTCGGACGACCAGATTGCGCAGGTGTTGAATCAGCCGGGCAACGTGTTTGAGCCGTCGTCGTCGTTTGGGGGCAACATGTCGTGGGAGGAGATGAACAACTTTGACTGGCTGAACTGGCCAGCTTTCAATGCAAATTAGCGGAATGCATACATAGGGATGGACTTGGTTGAGGATTTGGTTGGGCTGCGTGTAAGGGTTCTATTTGGGAATAAGCGAATGGTGGGAATTGTCTTTTGTGTTTCTTGTTTCCAATTCAACTGATACAATTGATCATAGGGAAGCATTGCATAGGGGCGAAGAATCAAGTGAGGCGAAACGCGTCGCCACGACCGCATTATATGTGCAAGAGTGACGAATTGATCAGCCGAATGCGTGGACAAGCTAGTAGTACCACAATCATGCGATATCTTACCCACAAGCAGATTACATGTGCATCTTGTATGGCCATCAAGGTAGTCGAATCAAGCACCGCCAAGGTGAAAACTACTACAGTAGGTATGTGTAGCCGAGCGAAACCCGGGAGGCGAATGGACCAGCTTGGCGACATCGGGATTGTGGGGGCTGAGCATCGGCCTTCAGATGTGTGTTCCGTTTTCTGGAACCCTCGGGGAGTTTATCGATGGGTCTTGAGTGATTGAGATTTGTGCGGCTTGCTTTGCAATTCATGGTTTATGCATGGGATTGGTGGTCAGGTTTGATTGTGGTATTTGGGTTGGGGATGTTGCTGCGGGTTATGAGGACGGGATGTATGGTGATGGATTTTGGAGTTGGTGTTTGTGCTTGGAATCAGATTTAGTCCATGTTAGGTAAGGTAACGGGCGTATCTTGACCACCTCCAACACGTAGCATCCTACTGTTACTTGACAACTGTCTATGCGTTAAGCAATACAGGATATTTTTGGAAGTACATATGGCTTGAGCTTCTACAGACTTGGCCGTCTTGCACAAAACAAAGCTGCAAGGTCGCATCTTCTATCCATCTGCATACAAGTTGTAATACTAATACCTGCGCAACTTTATTTTTTAAATAGCCGAGGCCCGGCGTAGCGGCAACAATATCGATCTGGGGGGGCGTGGGTTGCAGTGGGGACGGGATTTGGAAGTCCAGATTTTACCTCCGATTTCTTTGCCTTGATGTCATCTGTATCTTACCTATAGTATGTTGAATGAGGCCATTTCTGGGGTATATTCTTCAAAAAAGGACGGGGAACGATTTGAACAGGCCAGTTTCTGAGTCATGACGAGGGAGGGTGAGAAGAGAGACGTGCGGGAGCAGTCGGAAATACATGTAGCCGCGGCCAAAGGGTCACTGCTCCCAACACCATCAAGACGATCAACTCCAATCTCAACCTCGACCTCATCATCCACCTCCATCTCACCCACCTCAACTCCTGCTCATACTTTTTCTTCTTCTTCTTCATCATCAGCAGCAGCATCAAGTGACAAGAGGCGCCGACAACGACGAACCATGTCCAAACTCTCGCCCAGCCTCAAGGCGCTCATCAACGCGCCCTTTGCGCGCCCGGGGCCTCACAGAATCGCAAAGGGAGCTGCGGCGGCGGCGGCAGTGGGGGATTTGTTTCGGGGGATTGCGGGCGAGGCGAGGGGGAGGGGGGTTGGAGCGAGGGCGTGGCTGGCGATATCTGTGAGTCTGTTTTGTCTCCCTGGGCTTTGCGATGGCTTTTCTTTTTCTTTTGGTGGAGGGAAAATGGATGAGTGAGGTTCAATGTGAAGGCGAGGGGGAAACTTACAGGTCAAATGGATAGGCTGCTGCCACGTTTACGCTGAATTCTCCCGACGCCTTGTCGATACTGCACAACGTCGCTTCAGCAGAGCGAGGGGATTCCCAAGCAGCGCAAGTTCGCACGGCGGAATTCATCCGCGAGGTCGGCCTCAAGTGCATCTCCTTTAACGGGATCCCCCGCACAATCAACTGCCTCAACGCATTCCACGCATCACTCCCGCAGAGCGTATCCTCATCTCTGTCGACGCAGCCCTCGCGAAGCCTCAAGTCAGACAACGTCGAGAGCGTCAAGGCCCGGGGGAGAGGGCTATGGGACTCGATCTACGCCCCGTTTGAGGAGAAGCTCGTCGACAAGCTGGGGACGTCGCATCCCGACCTGCCGGTGGTGATTCTCAACTGCCACTACGGACCGCTGCTCTCGGATCCCGAGGGGGAGGAGGGCGGCGGCAGCAGCAGCGTCAAGAGGGGCGTGGGGAGGGTGATGACGAGCCTTGTGGCGGTTGCGAGCTTGAGGGCGCAGACGGGGGTCGGGCCGCAGGTGCTTTCGCACGTGTTTGGGCTGCGCAAGGCTCTTGACGACGGGTCCTTCCGGGGGGATCTGGAGGTCCAGGGGGGAGGGGAGGAGGAGAGGTTGAGCGAGGACGGGGCGCGGTGGCTTGCGGGGGATGAGGGCGGGGAGTGGGTGTTGAAGACGGTGGATAGGATTGTGGAGGGATTGGGGGGGAGCAATTTCGCGGCGAAGCTGTGATGCTGATGGGTTATGGATGTGCTGCAATGTGCTGCTGATGTGGAAATGCTGCAATGGTGCTGATAGACTATGGGTCAGGTTCTCTGTGAGACGTATGTAAGGTATAGAGTGATGGACTTATGAGCAATCATGTGTACACAAACAAGCCCGCTGTTGTTGAACTGTGTATATTATACATATAGTTATATACATCTTGAGCCAAAAAAAAACATGTACGCTGAATGCATTGTTTCCAGACATCTGTGTTACCGGTGTAGTTGATCCCAGCCATGCCATCTATGTCTTGTTTAAAAAAAAAACCATTGAAAAATCCCATGACCTTATGCGGATATCTCCTCCTCTGTACCTTGACAGTTCTCTATCACGTCCCGTTGTAAGAATCTACTCCATGCTAATAATGTTATCGGCAACGCTAAACGGCGCGTCCGTCTTGCTCTTGACCTCGTCGACGGTAACACCCGGCGCCAGCTCCGTGAGCGTCAGGGTGCCCTTTTCGCGATCGACTTGGAAGACGCACTACAAAACCCATTAGCAAGTGGTAAAAAGAAAGAAAGCAAGAAAAGAATCAGGGAGAGAGAAGGGGGGGGGGGGAAACGTACCAAATCAGTAATGATGGTGCTCACGCATCGCGCGCCAGTCAGGGGCAGGCTGCACTGCTTGACAATCTTGGACGAGCCGTCCTTGCAGACGTGCTCGGTGGCGACAATGACTTTGGTGTTCTCGGGGTTGGCGACGAGGTCCATGGCGCCGCCCATGCCCTTGAAGAGCTTGCCCGGGATCATGAAGTTGGCGAGGTCGCCGGCCTGGCTGACCTGCAGGGCGCCGAGGATGGACACGTCGACGTGGCCGCCGCGGATCATGCCAAAGGACTCGGACGAGTCAAAGGTGGAGGCGCCGGGGACGAAGGTAACGGTCTCCTTGCCGGCGTTGACGAGGTCACTGTTATCAAAAAGGCACCACGTTAGTCAAACTCATATATAATCATCTTCAAGCATCGTCAGGGGGGGGTAGGGGGAGGGGGGGGGGGGGGGGAAACACTCACGCATCGACCTCATCGGGCGTGGGATGCGGCCCCATGCCCAGCAGTCCGTTCTCGCTCTGCAGCCACACCGTCCTCTCCTTGGGGATGTAGTTGGCGGCCATGGTCGGGATGCCGACGCCCAGGTTGACGTAGTATCCCTCCTTGAGCTCCTTGGCGGCCCTCTTGGCAATGGTGCGCTTGCGCTCGCTGCCCTTCTTCTGGACGTCTGCTGCGCCCTGCGGCTCCTCGCGCAGCTTGAGCGTCTCGACCTGCTTCTCCACCGTCGCCTGCACGACGCGGTCCACGTAGATGCCCGGCAGGTGGACGTCGTCCGGGTCGATCTCGCCCACGGGGACAATGTGCTCGGCCTCGACAATGGCCAGCTTGGCGGCCTTTGCCATGAGCGGGCCAAAGGCGCGCGTCGTGCGCCGGAAGACGCAGTTGCCCGCCGTGTCGGCCTTGTAGGCGCGCAGGATGGCGACGTCGCCCGGGAGCGCCGTCTCCATGAGGTACAGCTTGCCGTTGAAGGAGCGGGTTTCGCGCTTGTGCCCGTTTTCGAGGGGCGCGCCGCCGGACGGGTTGTTGCGGATGGGGATCTGGCCTTCTTGGAGGAGGGTGTCTGACATTTTGCCAGTCAGTATATATATTACCTTTTTTTTTTTCAAAGAGACAAAGGGGGGGGACATAAACGTACGGGCTCCGGTGGGCGTGTAAAAGGCGGGAATGCCGGCGCCGGCGGCCCTCAGGCGTTCGGCCAGCGTGCCCTGGGGACACAGCTCGACGGCTAGCTCGCCGTCAATGTAGCCCTTTTCGAGCACCTTGTTGCCGCCGGTGTAGGACAGGATGAGGTTGTTGATCTGGCCGGACTCGGTGAGGTGGGAGAGGCCGCCGCGGCCTTCGAGGCCGGCGTTGTTGGAGACGGCTGTGAGGGAGTGGAGGGAATCGCGGCCTCGGCGGTGCAGCGCTTGAATGAGGGTTTCTGAGATGATGAAACGTTAGTCAATTGGTTTATTTTCCCCCCCTGAATGTTGGTTTTTGTGTGATTTTAGGATATATATATAATTTTTTTTTTCGCCGTTGTGGAGTGATGGGTGGAATCACGAGATGTCGAAGAGGGCGACTTATACGGAGGCGAGAGAGAGAAAGAAAGGGGCGATTGCTACAACATACCTGCAATACCACAAAGGCCGAATCCCGAGCTCAACAGGACGGAACCGCTCTTGATGTCGGCAACGGCCTCGTCAGCGCTGGCGACGACTTTTGACTTTGGCCGGACCTGTGACTTTTGCTGCTGGGAAAAGCGAAAGGCTGTCGTCGAGAGGAACCGGCTCCTCGCGGGGCTGGCGTGGACTCTAGGGGCGTGGAGGAGCTGTGCCGAGACGGCGGTGATGAGGGAGCGGGAGCATCGTGGCGCGGCTCGTGGGAGGGCTGCCTTGGGGTTGATTGGTCGGCGTAGTACCGTGGCCATTGTGTATGATGTGTATGTCTGAGGGTATATGGAATTTGGTGGTGGTGGTTGAAGAAAAGATGCCGGCGTTGTCGTATAAGATGATGCACTGCGAGGCGGCACGCGATATACTTGTACTGTCTGCAGCGAAGGGGTGATGCAGCACCTTTTTGTCTCGTCCCAAAGAGGGTTTCAAGATGGAATTAAATTGCTAGAATGGCAACAACAATGAGCCTATTGTGAAACAAAAAGGAATGTGGATTTCCGCCCGTCAATTGCAGTTTCAATAGCCCAACAATAAGGAGCGCAGAGTCCGTGCAAAGCGATTGTCCCTCTGTTGCTTTATATCGTGCTCGGCTCGGCTACCGTGAGGCCACTAGAAACGGAACTTGTTCGGGAAAGTCGGCCGGTCGGCCGGAAGCTAAAAGCTAAGGGGAAGAAGACAGGTACCGTTGTGTGGGGATTCGCTGGGTCCCGGGGGTTGATCGGGGTTTTACTGTGGTGTGTGTGTGTGTAAGTGTGTGTAAGTGTGTGTAAGTGTGGCTTCGACGGCCTTCTTGGTGGCGATGGTATGACTTCAGCGTGGGGGGGATTAGGGTACTAGTATGGGGAGAGGACGAGGCTGAGAGTGTGTTTGTATTGAGAGGTGCTGATTGGGGGAGTTCAAGGTCAAGATGATGTATTATGATAAGATGTCTCGTGATGCCCGTGATACGCTTCGTCTGGATGGTTCTTTGTGCTTCTTCCTCCAGCTCGACGGTGTGTGTGTGTGTATGTATGGTGCTGTCTTCACCGAGATCGAAACCCGGCGAGTCATGAAGATCCAGTGTAAAACTAGTACACGCAAAAGACTCTAGAAGACGACGAAAATTCTACAGGCCACACGATCGAAAAATCTCCGCAGAGCTTGTCCCTCGCGATTCGCCACGAGTCATGATGCCAAACTGACAGCTCGCAGCCTCGTCTCCATTGCAAGCCTCCTTTCCTCCAGCCAGCCAATCGGCACTGCCTCCTTGTCCATGACAGATCTGCGCCAAATCTTACCCCAAAACACACCAAACTCCAGGTTTTTCCCCAAAATCCATGCTCAAGACATGAATAAGGTGCCCCCTCATTCGACTCCCTTTTTCATACGTCCGCCAGTCCGGACGTGACTCGACAGGGTCATATAAGGTAATGCGGGGCCGGACGCCTCTTACATACATGTAGTATATATACTATATAAGGTGCCTACACAACTGTACTATGTATGTAAGGTAAGGTATGCATTGTGCGGAGAGCCTCCAATGAAGACGCGCTCCTCGACTTTATCCCAATGGCCTGCCGGTAAAAACATGCTGACTCCTCATCCTCATCCCTGCAAATCCGGGGGTCGGACGCGGCATGCAGGCAGCGGGGAAAACAAGCTGGGGAAAGCTGCTCAACCTCTCCGCCCTTGAATCGCCTCGCCATTCAATCGTAGTGTGTCCACCTAATTTACTTGATATCAAGATCTCAATCGTTGCCACACGCGCGCGTCTCAAAATCCGCAATGACGGCCGACTCGGAGAATGAAAAGCACGATGCAATCGACTACGAGATTGAGAATGCGCAGGATCCGCGGCGGACGGCGGCGCTGACCAAGAGCGTGCTGTTCAAGATGGACACGAGGTAAGGCTCAAGTTTGTTGGGGGTTTTCCCCCCCCCTTTGCCAGCAATCATTGCGCCCCGTGTATAGTGATACACTTTCTATCCCAAGGTGAAATCATGAGCTCATCACCACGGCGCAGAGTCATGCCCATCTTGGCCCTCCTCCTGCTCTGCTCGTTCCTCGACAGGACCAACGTCGGCAACGCCAAGATCCTCGGCCTCGAAGCCGACCTGGGCATCTCAGACGAGCAGTACTCCCAAGGCCTCGCCGTCTTTTACGCCACCTACATTGCCTGGTCCGTTCAGTCTCAAAACCAACTCAGTCCGTGTCCAAAGTAGCATCACCAAGTTGTTGACTTTTTATCCATCATGATCATGGCAGCGAACTCCCCAGCAACCTCGTCCTCAAAAAGGTGTCCCCCCGCATATGGCTGCCCTCCCTCACCGTCGCCTGGGGCATCATCACCATGTGCCTCGGCTTCGTCCGCTCCTTTGGGAGCTTCGCCGCCGTGAGGGCCCTCCTGGGCGTCGCCGAGGGCGGCCTGTTCCCCGGCATCGTGCTGTACCTGTCGAGCGTGTACACGCGCGGCGAGCTGGCGCTGCGCCTGGGGCTGTTTTACGCGGCTGCTTCACTGTCGGGCGCCTTTGGGGGGTTGCTCGCCAGGGGGTTGTCGGCGATTGGGCCCAGGGGGGGACTGGAGGGTTGGAGGTGGATCTTCATCGTTGAGGGGCTGCTGGTGAGTTGGTGCTTTGATTTGTGATGAATTTTTTTCTTCTTCTAATTTTGTCTTGTCTGTTGGTGATGAGTCGTGGACTGACGGGGGGCTGTAGACGGTTGTTTCTGGGTTGATTGCTTTCGCTGGGCTGCCAAACAACGTGGCCAACGCTTGGTTTCTTTCGACGGAGGAGAGAGACTTTGCTGCCCAGCGGCTGGCCAACGACAGCGGAGGACGCTTCAAGTATTTCTGCCTCTTGTATACGGGATGAATTCATACTGATGATAGTCCAGCCCAGCACGTGAAGCCGAGGAGTTGTTCAAGTGGTCTGAAGTCAAGCGCGGCATCTTCAACGTCCAGATCTGGCTCACGTCGACGGCGTACTTTGCCTTGCTCTCGGGCGTATACTCTTTCGGACTCTTTGTGAGCAAACCATATCTGATGTTGTGTATGAACTGCAGCTGACTCGTGAAGCTGCCCACCATCGTCAACGATCTCAAAATCACCACCAATGCAAACAAGGTCCAGCTCTGGACCGTCATCCCCTACGCCGTCGCAACTCCCACCACCAGTCCGTTCGACCCCATCACACACACACCGACCCCCTCATACGACGTATCCCCTTGCATTGCTAACCCCGGCGTCTCTCCAGTCCTCGTCGCCTTCGTCTCGGACCGCATCAAACTCCGCGGCGCCCCCATGCTCGCCATGCTGCCCATTTCCATCGCCGGCTACGCCACCATTGCGCACGTCCAGTCCCCCAGCGTGCGCTTCGGCATGACGTGCCTCATGGCCATGGGCATGTACAGCTCCGTGCCGTGCGTGCTGGTCTGGAACGCGAACAATTCCGCCGGGCACTTTAAGAGGGCGACAACGTCCGCTTTGCAGCTGGCCGTGGCCAACTGCGGAGGGTTTGTTGCCAGTATGTGACATTTTTTAATCCCTTGTATTGTATATAGGTACCCTGAGAAATCATGACTGATGTCTGCCTGTGCAGCTTTCATATACCCCAGCAAGGACGGGCCCGTCTATCTCAAGGGACACTCTGTCGTCCTGGGACTCTTGTGTTATGCATGGTTTGCGTAAGCACATTCCCCTCCTCGATGTTTTTTTTTTCAGCCCTCTCTTTCTTCTTCTCAAGGCTAACAGCGACTGTAGAGTGTTGGCCAACCTGCTCTATTGCGCCAAGATGAACCGGGATAAAAAGGACGGCAAGTATGCGCAGTTTACGGGCTCTGGAGATGACCGCGACCCCGAATTCGATATGATTCTATAAGCTGCCTCTGTTTAGTTTGTTATGCCGTTATATCCAGCGAATTCGCGATTATAATGCTAATAATAACAATATCTTTGCAATGTTGACTAAATCTTAATTCCTTAGCCTATATATATATATATATATATATATCTATCAGAAGGTATCCTTCCTAGCATTTCAACATCATCTCTATTTCTATAGATAATCCCACCTCTGTTATCACATCCGCTCACCTCTTCCTCTAACACACTCCTCCTGAACCCCTTTTGCTGTGATGATTCTTTTCCTAGTGACGAGTGTGGATTGATGAGGTTTAGACGGTTGTTTCTGGATTGATTACTATTGCTGGGCTGCTAAACAATCTCAAATGATAACAGAAACCACTAAAATTGCTGGTTATATGCCTTAAATATCTTAATGCCAGTAGCACCCGGCCACCATGTGATGCCATAAACGGAACTGAGACCTGATTAGTATAGACACTTGGTATCTGGCAGCAATACCCTCTGAGCGCGATAGGAGACGAGGCTCGCTAAAGTTCAAAGTTCTACCGGAGTGTTCATGGCGAATCACCACAGCAGGGCTCAGCCATGGCTTGGGCCACAAGGTTCAGTGACGGAACTCGGTTAGCTAAAGGATCTTGAGTTACAAAATGCCGCTGTGGCCCTACTTGAGGCTGAATTGCTGATACGATCTCTCGACATCTTGGAAAACTTCCCTTCACAACACCGTCCTCATCACATCACAGCTACTGTCGCCCGGGGCCATTCAGCATCCGACTATCGGTTCCAACAGAACAAATGAATACTCCCTTTCTCGTCACAACTACCGTTATGCTGGCATCATTGATTGGGTTCCTGGACTACATGCGGAGACGCCGTCAGGAACGCGCTTCCCCTCGAAGTCAGCCAGCCCAGCCGAGCCAGCCCGTCCCGTATCAGGCTCTTGGCCATGATGGCGATTCTGTCTACACGATGCCGCCGTCATACCACCAAGTGACTACAGCACCCGAAGACATCAATCCTCACAAGTCATTGCATCCTACATGCGTCTGTGGACCTCATCGGGGTTGTTGCCGCAAGCATAGCTCGATACGTTCGCCCAGTCGCCGTCTTAACAAGCATCCATGCATCTCCCACCAATGTAAGCAACTCCTACCGATCGATTGGAATGATCCAAAGGCTGAAAAATTTCCCTTAGTTGACTTGCAATCGGCTCCTACGCTTGACCCTATACATGCCAACATGGCCTACCATCTTTCCATCAATCACCTAGCTTGCATCCGCGGCCGCCTCAGCCCTGATACAAACAGGGCCTTTATACCAGAATTATCAATCGCAGATCGCTGCACCTCTGAGAACGGCATGAATTACAGCTGGTCTAGCGAGATCTACTTTGATAAAGGCAGCTTCTTGCAAAAACAGGAAATGGACTGTTACCAAACTCGCGGGGATGAAAACCAACCGCAAACCTTCACTCCCTGCCCACACCAGAGCTTGACCATCTCTACTCCTAGATTCGCGATCAAAGATGGCAAGGTTGAGGTATCAGCATACATCACAAATCGCCCACCGAGATGTACGCTCCATGAAAGCGAACAATGGAGTAATTTCCACGGACAATATGCCCAGGTCGTTGGCTGCACTATATGCTACTCGGACGCTGAGTGTATATTAGAGCTCCACGATCGTAGCCTGCACATTAGATACACGTGCTATAAGGACCTTGGCCCTGGAACCCACTCACGGCATTCAAAATGGCTTGCTTTGCTCACAGGCCTGGGCAGCCCGGAGAGAAAAGATGATACGTTGGAGGTGTACGAGCGAGTGTGGAATACGGCTTATAGCTTGCAGCGTCGTGGTCTTTACCAAGTCACTCATCAGACGCTAAATGGAGTGTTTAATATAGGTAAAAGGTCCTATTAGGTTATACGGCAGAACGGGGCAATGCCATAATTCGATACACACGTCATGTCTTGTCATTATGGCCATCATCATAACGACGGAATTCGGTATGATTCTGTGAGCTGCCTCTGTTTGTTCAGTTATGCCTCTAAGCACTCCCATCAGGTTAGATAAAGATTCTCTATCTAGATAGATCTAGCCCGGGCTACTAGCTAGATATACCCCTAAAGTAAGATATTATATATCTATTCACCAGAACTTCATATAGCATACCAGCAGTTATTAAGTCCAGTAGGAGGACTAATACCTTTATAGCTAGCTAGTTAACGTTCATTTCGCCAATGATGACAATGTCTACTAAATGCCGAATCTCAACTTTTGTCTACTAAGCCCATACACATGTGAAAACAGCAGAAGCACGCCCTAAGAGTCTCACCCAAACAACACCTTCACCACCTCATCAACCTCATCCTCATTCCCAAAGATAATTCCGCCTCTCTCATCACACCCGCTCACCCCCTTCTCCAACACCCTCCTCCCAGACTCATCCACCGCCTTTCCGCCCGCACACTCAACCACCAGTCCCACGGGAAGGACCTCGTACAGCCTCCTCAGCTTGGCCTTGCTCGTCTCCGCCACGGGCGAAACGTACACGCCGTGACCCTTTGTGAGAATATGGCCCAGATCAGGGACCAACCCTCCGCAATACCGAAGGGTGTACTTGTTCGTGATAAAGGACGAGATGAGGGCCGCGTACGCCGGCGACTCTGCCGCATAGCGCAAGTTTGCAGGCGCAAAGTACCGCGTCTTGTAGGGCGGCGCAGACAGCCTCACATCGTGATTGATCACCTCCACAGTCCCATCGTCATTCAACCCCAACTCGAAGCAAACCCCCCTATCCTGCGCCTTCTCCCTCACAGCCACAATCACCGTCGTCCTCGGCCCGTGGACGCCCATCAACGAGCAAATCTGCTCGCTCGAATCCTTGCCCAGCGCGCTCTCCCCCTTCCAGATCCCCACGATGGTGCCCACGGTCCAGTTCGCCGCAATGATCGAACTGCCGTCCAGCGGATCAAAGGCCACGGAGAAGCGCTCGTCGGAGGAGATGTTCTCAGAGGGCTCGTCGGGGTGCAGGATCTGTCTCTCTTCGGGGTCCTCTTCGCTGCTGGCGGTGGCGACGAGGGGGCACTGCGCGAGGGCGGCGCGCATGATGGTTTCGCAGGCGACGTCCACGTTGAGCTGGTCGTCGCCAAAGGAGTTGGAAGAGCCGGCGAGGGAGACGCGGTGCGAGGAGCGGAGGGCGAGGCCGATGCGGGAGAGGGCGCTGAGGAGGGGAGGGAGGAGGGAGGTGGTGAGGGCGTGGATTGTGGGGGAGGGGGAGGTGGTGAGTTGAGGGGGGAGCCATGAAGGCTGAGGCTGAGGCTGAGGCTGAGGAGAGGCCATTATGGCTTTAGGTTGAGTGAGGATGGTTTGAGTTGTTGGTTGTTTGTTGATGATGATGAGAAGAGGATGGTTTGATGATGATGATGAGATGGAGTTGATGAGGTGCGGGTTTTTGGTGGTGGTGGGGTGGCGATAAGCTTAGTGGGACAGGAGATGAGATGAAGCTCTTCCGTCATTACATGCGGCTGTTGATGTCAAGCTTATACCAGCTGCAATTGAAGAGAGCCGAATGCTGCAACTTTGTTAGGAACATTGATGCTTTACATTGTTAGGTAGCCTGGATATGATATTGAGACATTGTACAACTCAAGGGAAAATCTCCTTCAGTTCCAGCAAGAGAACCAATGCTATAATACCTACTCTTCCATAACAGACAGAGCTCATGTCGAGATACTAGCTAGCAGCTACTAGGACTGGATCTAACATTATAGACACCTACCTGTACATACCTACCCAGGTCGTATAACCATCATCATCTACCAGCATGCGTCTTCCTCAAATTCGCCGGATTGGCCACAAACGCCGCAACAACACCCACGGCAGCCACCGCCGTCGTCGCCCCAAAAGCGAGCTTCAGCCCATCGAAATACACCAGCCGGGCCCTGAGCTGGACATCTGGCGGGAGCGTCCGCAGGGCTTCCACCGAGTGTCTGATCTCGTCAATGACCTAACACCTAGCGTCAGTTGCCAGTTTTTTACACGATGCCTTGGAAGTCTTTCATATAGTAGTAAAATGAGTGAGTGATAAACTAAAGAAAAGGGTCGTACTCTCCATTTATCTGGCACCTCGCTCAGAACCTGCGGTAGGCGCACGCTGAGCGTGTTCTGCACAATGGCGGACGCGACGGAGACGCCCCAGACGGAGCCGAGGGAGCGGATGAGATACGTCGTTGACGCGGACACGGCATGGTCTATAACAGGGCCCAGATGTCAATAGAAGACACAAGCAAATTGTACCAAAAGAACGGAACATACCAGAGTGAGCGTGAGACGCAATCGAGATGAACAATATGGCCGGATACACTATCCCCGTGCCCAAGTGAGACGGAAAGATGTACACGACATACTTCCACCGCGCATCGGCAAACGCCCACGACGAGACCAACGCCTGGCCAAGCGTCATGAGGACGAGCCCGGCGCGCATCAGGGGGATCAGCTTCCCCCAGCGCGACATGACCGTGCCGGCGACCAGGCCGCCCAGGGGAATCGCCAGCGAGGGCACGGCGAGACGAACGCCCGCCTTGGTGGCCGAGTCTTGCAGGACGGACTGGAAGAAGAGCGGCAGCATGAAGAGGTACTGCATATAAGGACAAGACAGGTATGTCAGTGGAAGATTTCTTCGTGTGTGTGTGTGTGTGTGTGTGTAAGATGAAAAAAAAAAAGAGAGAGAGACAGAGAGACAACAAGGGGCAAAGACAGAACCAACCCCGTACGAAGACATGCCGGCGCAGACATTCGCAACCTGCGTCGCAACGGGCATCCGCCCCCTCAGCATCCTCAGCGGAATAATCGGCATCGCAGCCGTCCTCTCCTCGACCCTGACAAACACGGCAAACAGCACCACGCTCGTCGCCAGCGCGCCAAGAACCCAGGGGCTGTCCCAAGGCAACTCATTCCCGCCGAGGCTGAGGCCCAGGAGCTGCGTCGACACGGCAAGGACCAGCAGAAGAGCGCCCGAGAAGTCGACTCGTTTCCACATTGCGCTGAAGCTGCTGCTGCTGCTGCTGCTGGCGTCTGTGAAAGTAGCAGCAGCAGCAGCAGCAGCAGCAGAAGAAGAAGAAGAAGAAGAAGAAGAGGAAAAAGAGGAAGAAGACGGAGTTGCGGTTGCGCCGAGGTGCTCGTCCTTGAGGACGACGTGGCCTGCGACGAGGGCAAACATGGATAGGGGCACCTGCAGGAGGAAGCACCAGCGCCAGCCGAGGGAGTCGGCGATTGTGCCGCCAAAGGAGGCGCCGCAGATGGCGCCGAAGCCGAAGACGCCGTTTTGCATGGCTTGGTACATGCCGCGCCTGTGGAAGGGGATCATGTCCGAGTTGATGATCGTGGCTAAAACAGAACCCCAGCAGCCCAGCATTCAATCCATCAGCACAACAAGCCCCCATCTAAGAAGACACAATCGCATATCAACAGAACAGTCTATCAACAGAGACAACCAGGGGGGGATGGCACGACAGCACACTGTACTCAAGAGAAGAAACCGGGACGGACGGACTCACCCATAGTCATCAGCCCGGCGCCTCCAACCCCCGTCAACGCCCTCATCCAATTCAGCAGCACGATATCCCCCGCGAGCCCGCAGCCCACGCAGCCGGCGGCAAAGACGGCCGTCGAGACGAAGAAGCACGCGCGGCGGCCGAAAATGTCCGACACGCGCCCGTAGAGCGGCTGGAAGGCGGCGGCCGTGACGAGGTAGGCGGTGGTGAGCCAGGAGGCGCTGTTGGCGGCGTCGAACTCGGAGCCGATGACGGCGTAGGTGGCGGCCGTGATGGTGCCGTCGAAGCCGTTGAGGAAGACGTTTGTCATGATGGCGAGCTGGATGGGGATGAAGCCTGGGGGAGGCGACCACGAGGGTGATGGCGAGGGCGAGGCATTGCGGGAGAGGAGGGGAGTTGTTACCGTTGTTGTTGTTGTTGTTGTTGTCTGTTGGCTTTCGATGTCGTGAGGTGGTAATGGGGAGGATGAGGGGGGTTTGTTGGGGGTTGCTGAGGGCATTATGAGGGATGTTACGTGCGAGAGAATGAATGAGATGGGAGTTTGAATCTGTATGATTATTGGTTTTGACTTCTTGCAGGAATGGTTGAGATGTGGTATATATGGTTATGCAAGTCACGTCGTGCATACCGTACATACTGTACATCTCCGTCTGCCAATCGATCGATGCCGTGCTCCGTGATCCGCACCAAGCGCATTGCACCATCGCCTCGTGCCGCTTCGTGATGGGCACCCCTGCAGCGACATCGGGTTTTTACTGCTACTCGGTACAATTAACACTGATGACAAGCAAACTGAAGCAAGATTGTCCGATAGGCCGTCCGGATCTCGTCTTATTGCTGGTCTTTGACTGAGCTACCGGATTGCTGCAATCGTCTCACTCACACTTACACTATCAAGCACACAATAACCGCACACAACACTTCATCGTGCCCAAGCCTCGCAAAAGAACGCTTGCACCGATCAACCGCTCTGTCAATACATACTCAATAACCATCACTGCAAATCTCATCTCATAATCCCCCCCCCCCCCTCCTCCTCACTTCTTCGCCTCCGCCTTCATGCTCTCCTGGATCCACCTCCTCGTCTCCTCCGCCTTCTTGTCCATCTCCTCGGGACTCAACTTGGCCAGCTCAAACGCAGTATGCGGCTTCGGCACGTGGCGGCCCTGCTCGAACCCGGGCCTCTCCAGCAGCGCGTGCAGCCACTTTTCCAGGTGAGGGAACTCTGCCAGCGAGACGCCCGCCCAGGCTGAATCCCATCCACAAAGTCAGCATCCAAGTCACACACACACACACAGAGAAAGCTCAAAGGGAGAGGTTGCGTAAGGGGTCGCTGGATGAAAGGGGGGAGGGGCTGAAAGGACGTACCGTGAGAGGCGACCCAGCCCCAGGAGGCAATGTCGGCAATCGTCACGCGGTCGCCGACGAGGTAGCCAGAGGCGGACTTGGCCAGCTGCGTGTCCAGGACGGAGTACAGGCGGCGCGTCTCGTTGGTGTAGCGGTCGATGCCGTACTGGATCTTTTCAGGGGCGTATCCTACAAGTACCCTCGTCAGCACTCCTTCACTCACTCACTCGCCCACGATCCATCTCTGTCTGTGGAAAATAAAAAACTCACGGTTAAAGTGATTTGCCTGTCCCTGCATCGGCCCCAGGCCACCCATTTGCCAATGAAGCTGCAGGTAACACACGTTAGCAAATAATCTCCTCCTCCTCAACATCATCATCATCATCATCTCTTGCGTAAAAGCATGGTTCAAAACGACTCACCCAGCTGTTCACCTCCCACGTCTCCTTCGAGTCCCGCGGATACGAAACCTTGTGGTCCTTGTCATACCGGTCCACGAGATACTGCAGGATCGCGCCGCTCTCAAAGACGCGGAGAGGCGTGCCGTCGGTCCAGGTGTCCGTGATGGCGGGGATGCGGCCGTTGGGGTTGATGTCGAGGAACCACTGCTCCTTTTGCTCGTTCTTGCCCAGGTCGATGGAGCGGATCTATAGGACCAAGTCAGCAATCTTTAAGCTGTGCGTAGATGAAACTTGAGCTATTGTAACTGTGTGATTTTGGCTGTTGTGATAGGTGGGAGTGTCAATGTTTGAGGTGGCAGAGAACTGACCTTGTACTCCAGGCCCAGCTCCTCCAGCAGAATCGACACCTTGATGCCGTTGGGCGTGGCGGCCGTGTACAGCACGATATCAGTCGGAATGCCCATCTTGATGCTGTTGATAATCAGTTGTCTGCCTAGTTGTGCTACACGGGCTGCTGGCATAAAATGTCCTGAGTCGAGAACTACGTTATCCGTCGTTGTTGGGAGAAAGAACAGATTGGAGCTGTCGAGCGGAGTGCGACCAACACCAGCATATATACTATAGCACTACCACCAACGAATACCTGCTTGTAGGTATGTACTACAGACTTGCGTATAGATGTCGACAATGCGATTCATAGGTAGGACACTAGCTGCAATGGGGTAATAGTCGTCCTGACCAGAAAACGGACAAATTGCGTCTCCAAATGCTTCCCCCCTCCCCCATTTCTCAGCCCACGCATCAAATTGACCCGACCCTCCTCATGTACTTCGCTGCTTAGAAATCGGGTTTTGCTCTCGAAGATGCTGTGGGAGGTACCCGACTACTAGGAAGGAAACCCCACTGGGGATTGGCGTCGAAAAGCGGAGAACGTCTATACGACTGACTATACTACCTTACTGTATATCCCTCGGCCTCTGAAATTGCCGTGGAATTCGTACATGTGCGTATGAGGTGGATGGATGAAGGATTGCGGTTGCTGAGAAAGCAGCTCATGGTGGTGGTGGTGGTTTGCTCAGCAACGTTGGTTTGTCATGTCTGTAACAGTGTTGGCCCGATGTGAGATGAACTGGTAATACGGCTTACATGTTCGGGAGAGGATCTGTGTAGGTACATATGCAATCCTAGGTACCCAACAGCTAATACCGTGAACTACCTACCTACCTACCGCAGCCAAACGCCAACCTTTCTGGCAATATGTATATGTGTATTAATAAGCAGTGCAAAAGGTCACTATTACTTCATCTCTTGAAAATACACAATTTGCAGACTCGCCCTCTTATCGTTCGTAAATGGTGTGCTATAATACCATGTTGTCACCAAAGATCCGGATACAGCGACGGCAGTTTCAACAAGCTTGCCACGGAGTTCAAGTACAACTTCTCAATTCCGGTCATACTCTGTCCTTTAATAACCAAAAACCCCCAATTCAGCGAGTCATGTCAGATCTGTCAGTTCGATTCAAGAGCATCTCCATCTGTTCCATCACCAACTTCACAAGCCTAACAAACCCATCAAGAGGCAACAACCGAAGAGACAACCAGACAGATAGACAGACAGACAGACAGACAGACAGACAGACAGACAGGCAAACAAACCACCAAAAAAGCCCACCGATCCAAGCAAAATAAGCTCTCCAAGGCAATCAACCCTCAAACCACCCAAGAACACCCAATCCCCTATCCATTCAACATAAAAAAACATCAAAAAAGATAAAAAAGAAAGAAAAGGAAAAAAGAAGAAGGAAAAAACACAACTGCTTCTAAATCTCACCAAGCCCAATCCCAAAATCCGCCCTTCACATCCCACATATCAATTACAGCCAAGATCACCAAGAGCATACGCAAGGTAGGTACACTAGCAGCGAGGAAACGAGCAGCAATCTACACCCCCAGAGAACGAGCAAGTTCCTTCATCTCAAAAGGTTCATCAACTCGTGATGCAGTCTAATATGTGTACTTGTGTATCCCTCGCCGCAGACAAAAAACACCCCATCACCCCCATCACCAGACCACCTCCCCATCTCCCTCCCACTCCAAATCCCACAATTCACACTCACATTCACAGCATCTAGGACCAGAGCGTTTTGACTTCCATTCTTATGTTCATATTCATATTCAATCTCTGCAAATGTTTGCAGAAAGTGCTTAGCTACAGCGTTGTCTCGATGCTCTCAAATTGAATCAAATGGGGGGAAAAAATGGGAGAGAAAAAGAGCAAAAGATAAGACGAAGAGAAGGAAAAGGAAAAGATGACATGAAAGAAGGAAAATCCAACGTCCCAGACCACATAAACCCATCCAACCGCACAATGTTCATAAATCATGCCGCGTCCCTGCGCGCAAGTCATCACGGCTCTATCCAAAAATGCTTTGGTAATAGATCGCTCCCTCGCTCGCTCGTCGGGCTCGTTCCCGTCATCGCCCCCTATCCATCCACAACCCCGTCATTCCAATCTGTTCTCGTGCCCGTGTGTCTATAAAGAGCGAATGGTATCCCTGGGCTTCGTCATAATGATATAGTTCTCCAGTAAACGCCTGTGGCACAGCTCAAGGGACTGGGTCCCGTTTCTTGTGCGCATGCAAATAAAAACAAATCTCCTCCCCACGCCAAGGTGCGGAGTGAACGCTACCATCTCCCGCATCCTCGACCATCGCTGTCGACAATCTTGGTGATATGGAACTTGGTGTTCAAAGTAGAAAGGAAAAAGGATAAAAAAGATTGCCAACATCCGCGTTATCGTTTGTATAAGCGAAAAGCCATCATCCCAAATCGTGGAAGCACACCAGTTGCACTCCGGGTAAATGTTGTAGTCGTAAGATGAATCATTCTCGTGATAGGAAACCAAATTGGAAAGAAAGAAAAAACGAAGGTCCACTTCTGGGAAATCAAATAAGAAAAGGAATAGATTGTGCATGTAACAATTCTGTTAATAAAAGTCAGGGAAGCTCCAAGACTTCCGCGGTGGGGGTTGTTCCTCAACAAAATATCGTTCGGTCACGACCGAGATAATGTCGTAGACGGGGAGTAACAGCAGAAAGAATATGAGATGGAGTATAAGAATGGAAGTCCAACGCCGTCAAGCATACGTGTACTCTTCACGTGGCTTCTGGTGGTGGTAGGCGGAGTAGTGGACGTCGTCGTATCCGTAGTTCTTGGACGTCTTGACCTTGGCAAACTGAGCAGATCCCGCAGAGGCGGAGTAGCTGCTCTCGCGGACCGGCATCGAGGGTCGGCCGTCGTGGCCAGACGAGTAGTACGCATATCGCTCCGACTCCGGCTCGGGGCGGCGAGTGTACGATGGCTGTCGCTCGTATCCGGGATACCGCGACTCCGTGTACCCTGGGTCGACAGAGTGCTCTCGCCTGCCGGCACGATGCCTTCGGTCTCTGGCCCGGTGGTCGTGGACCTCGTCCGACTCAGCCTCCTCCTCGTCGATTTGCGACTGGTAACGCGTACGGTTGCGCCCGCGGGGGTCGTTTGCGTCTCCAAAGTTGTACGTCTGGGAGCGCGTGATGGGCACAGCGCGGGGGTAGTTTCCATCGGCTGGCATGGTGTTTGTCCTGGACAGGTGAGGAGGCGAGCCGGACATGGGCGGGTGCGCATGGCGGCTGTTGGGGGAGGCGCTCATGACGACGGGCTCGGCGGCGACGGGCTCCCTCGACGATTTCCTATACCTGCTGTCTTTGGGGTGGCTGCTTTCCGTTGAGCCGCGGCGAGGTCGCGCGGCTGAGCGACGAACGTCGTCGTCGGGGGCAGCAAATGGGGAAGTCTGGTTGGGAGCGGGCGGGGGGGTAGGAGCTGCGGGAGGTTGGGTCATCCGTGGGCCATAGGTCATGGATCGCTTCAGGCCGCCGGGCGCAACGCTCTCCTTGGCCCGGGCCGCTTCCATATAAGACTTGGCGTCTTTGATCTTGGCGTGGGTATCCTCCCAGGAAGACGACGGCTCCGGGGCGGCCGGCACAGCTCGCGAAGGCTCCATGTACTTGCTGGTGGCATAATCGGTAAAGGTGCGAACAGATTGCATCGGGGGAGACACCACTGGGATGTCGTCGCGGTGAGAGGAGCGATCCCGATCCCGCTTCTCATCGTACTTCTTGCTCGACGACGAGGACGACTTCTTCTTGTCAGACTTGGCAGCGGCAGCAGTCTCGTCGCTGTAGTCCTCGACGTAGGTGGCCGTGGGCTTGGCGTGCTTCTTCTTGTCCTCGGACTCGCGCTTGATGTCCTTGTCGCGCTGCTTCTCCTTGGCTCTCTTTTCTCGGCGGGCGTCCTTGGCCTCCTTGGCCTCCTTCTCGCGGCGAGCAGCCTCTTCCTTGTCGGCCTTCTTTCGGCGCTCTCGATCCCGCTCCTTTTCCCTGGCCTCGCGCTCGGAATCCCGCTTTGAGCGGCCGTCGACGTACGTGGTCTCGCGTCTGCCGGCGCGCGAGGAGCCAGTCTGGTAGACTCGGGAGCTAAAGGTCACATCATCCTCGTAGGATCGCGGGTAGGTATATCCCTTGGCGGGCGGGGGGACGTTGGTGGCCGGCTTGTAAGACGAGGCGCGAGGCTCGGCGGTGCGAATCTCGTACTCGGCGTACTTTGAACTTGATCGCGGGGTGGAAACAGACGTCTTGCGCAGCTGCTCCTTGAGCTCGGCCAGCCTGACCTGGTCGTCGTACTTTTTGCGCTCCTCCTCATCGGTGAGCAGCTCGTAGGCCTGCTGGACCTTTTGGAATTCCTCCTGCTTCTGCGCCTTGAGGGCGGGATCCTGCACCTTGTCGGGGTGGCACTTGAGGACGAGCTTGCGGTAGGCCAGCCGAATCTCCGCTACTTGCGCATCCTTGTTGACGCCGAGAACTTTGTAGTGATCCGGGAGCGGCGTGGAGCTCATGTTGGGATGGCCGAGGGGACAAAGTGGACGGAAGAGAGCGCTGTAGCGGCAGATGAGGCTATTTCGAGGCTGGTTATAGAAGAAGAAGCTTGCGGGAGGCGGCTTGCATCGAACACTGTGGGCAACGGCGATTGAGGCGATGAAAGGCTCCTGAATGTTTGCCGGGCAAACTGCGAATGCAGAAGAAGGAAATGGAAGACGAGAGAGTCAACGTTTGCTCGAGATGGTCCCGAGGAGAGGGGGGCGACTTTGCAAAGTGCAGTGGTGAACTCGGTCGAGTATAGGTAGGTATGGTAGAGAGGTGCCAGTGGCAGGTAGCTGACGAGGCGGGAGGCGGCGAATAACAGCAGCCCAGGCACCGCAATGGAATGCCAGCCGCCGCTGATTTGCAAAGGAATGACGGCTTTCCAGAGACGCAAGAAAAGGCACAAGGAAAGTGGGAGGGAAGGAAATCAGACGAGCGACGAAAGGGCGAAGAGGGAAGAGGGAAGAGGGAAGAGGAGGAGGGAAATACCAGGCAAGGTAGGGGAAGAAACGGCGGGCAGATGGCGGACAGATGCAACGAAGCACACAAGCAAGGCTTGCAAATGCAAATGCAAATGCAAAGGCAAATGCGAAAAAGGGAAGCAGGCAAGATCTGGCTGGGCCTGGTCCCTTTTTTTGGCTTTCTCCCGTCCGTGACTTGACTTGAAGAGGGGGGATTGCAAGTGCAAGCCAGGTGCTGGTACGGTAGGTACCTTGGGTAAGTACCTTGGCCTGGTACCTTATCCTGTCCTTGTACCTCGACCTGGTACCTTGTCGCGTGTACCTTGTACCTGAGGGCGGGCAGAGTCGTCGAGGTCACGGGTCTGAGCAGTGCTGCACGCGGTGATTGGCCCAGCGGACGGAAAACCGGGCCAAGGGAGGGGAGCAGGTGCTGGGTGAGAGGGAGGGACGGGCAGCGCTGGGAGGTACCGGGTACTCGAGCAGGGCCAGGGACGGGTGCAGGTACAGGTACGCGCACAGGTACGAGCACAGGCACGAGGCGCTGCTAGAGGCTGCTGCTAACTGAAGCTGTCTAGTGCTGGCAGCGGAGCGCCGAAAGGAGGGGGCGAGTCTTTTCTTGGTCGAGCCGTGATGGTGCCGTCAGGTTCAGCTAGGTCGGATCCGGCCTGCCAGCCGTGGACGAACGCTTGGCCTGTTGTGGGTGGTGAGATGTATGTCGTCCTGATCGATGATGGGAGCGACCAAGGAGAGAGAGCGAGAGGAGGGGTGGCGGCAGAGGCGGGCGACTCGAGGCGGGTTAATACCTGTGAAGCGCCGAGCCTCGGGCTGTCGACGTTGCTGTGGCTGAGACGGACGACGGCGGCGGCGGCGGCGACGGTGGATTTAGGTGATGATGACTGATGATTGTTGACTGCGGAATTTGTTGAGAAGCCTCACTTGGTTCTCGCTCTGGGTGTGTGCAAGGTAGGTAGTGACGGAGCTGGCGCAACGGTTACAGCTCTCTCTCTCTCTCTCTCTCTCTCTCTCTTTGTGGATGTCCGGCGTCGTCGGTTTCGGGGAAGGCGACAGAAGAGGCTTGAGGGCGGGATTGGTCACAGCCGGCGGAGTGAATGCGTCAGCCAGAGGGACGAGCGCGTGACGAGGCCGAGCAAGACAACCTTGACAGTGAGTAATGGCAAGCAATTGGGAGAGTGAGTGAGTAGTAAGTAATGATAGTTGAGCTGCTGATTCAATCTTTGACTTCCAGGTTGCTCTTGATCCTGACACTTGGCTTTGACTCTCTCTGTCTCTCTGTCACTGTCGTCTCTCTCTCGTCTTCTCTCGTCTTCGCTGCAGGTGTAATTGCTGTCCAAGCGGCTACCTACTAATTGGGTGCAATCAGGTTGACGACACACAGCAGCGTCTTAGCGGTGCAGCAGCGCCTACAGTACATGTACAGTACCCTACCCGTAGGTGCTCAGGTCGCTAAGGTACCTACAGGCACGACAAGCTGCAAGTCCTGCTACCTCGCCCGATGGATGCAACGCTCCAAGAAATGCGCGACAAATGCATCTGCCAGGGTGCAGGTACTTGGCTGCTCCGTATCTCTCTCTGTCTCGCTCTCTCCTTGTGCCTCTGCTCTGCTCTTCCTCCTCCGTCCGCTGGAGATGACAAGAAAAAGACGCGAGGGGTACCGGAGACGTGTGACGCACGACGAGGGGCTGTCGGCTGATGCGCAACCTTGGCAAAGTACCGCCCATGTACTTGCACTCCCAGTCCCCGTTGTCGAGTGCAGGGACCCTGGCAGTCGACGCACTCTGGATCTGATGCGATGCTCTGATTCTTCGCAACGGCTAATACTGATCTGATCTGATCTGTGCAAGGACAAGAAGCAGAATGACGAGCGGATTGGCTATTCGCTGACGGAGATGACGGACAAGGCGAGAAATCAATCCAAACAAAACGAGTGTTGAGCAATTCTTTTCGTCTTCACACAGCGAATGAGTCAAATTGCTGGACCCCGTCTTGACAGAGAAGGCAAGCAAGGCTGATGTTATAATATATGGGACCTTTGGTGCAAAGTTCCTGGTTTTTTTTCCCCCCCAGCACCAGCGCTGTAAGATGATGACAAGATGCTGCTGGCCCCTTGTTGGCGTGTCATAGTAGTACTCGCAGTGCTGGAGCAGACGCGCAGGAGTGGCGACGAGCCTCAGGCGCTTACAGGAGCCGCGTGGTTGGGAACATTGCAGCACGAACGGAGAGAAAAAAGAAAGATGCAGATTCGCCCAAGTGCGGGCGAGACACGTAGTTTTGCAGAAGAAGCAGCAAGTGTGGAAGTCGACAGAAACCGGGGAAATCAAGACCAAAAAGCAAGGCAGAGAGGGAGAGAATGCGCGATGACACAGGATGATGAGATGGCCAGATTGTCGGCTGGGGGTATAATCGACGAGCGTGCCAACGACACAAGCAACAAAAAAAAAAAAAGAAAAAAGAAAAAAACAGGCAATCTCTGGCAAATTTTCGATGGACCGCTAGAAAGGGTGATTCTGGCGGTGAGAGTCTGGAGTTTTTGTGTTGACTGGAGGGAGGCTAGTCGAGGCCCTGTATTGTATAATACGATGATACTGTGCTCGCTTTGATCACACTCAAACTGTGCTGCACTTTTTTGCATGCGTGTAAGTCGTCTCTGGGCTGGAGTCCAAGGGTCCTGGGGTCGGCAAAGCGAGGAGTGGCTTATTGGATGCAGCAAATGGCCCACTGACGGTTGAGATGACGAGACTTTCAGATGGCTGGAAAGAAAGGCGATTGATCAGGAATGGTAGCGAGAGAGTGTGATACTAGAGCCCGAGAGCAGAAGAAGCGAGATGCAGGACGGGCGAGATTGTGGAGAGAACGAGATGCAACAGTTGTCCCAAAGAGGTTGAGGCCGATGGGAGCATGCGAGTGTGCTTGTTCGTCTGCATTGAGTCGACTTAGACTGTTGCCCGCTTTCCCGCCGCGAAGAATCGTTGCATAGGTAAGGTAGGTAGGCAAGTCAGGGAGCTCACGATGCCTCATGCGATGTCGTGGCGGTTATCATACAACTGGTGATTGAGAACATTGAGGACAGCCAGACAGACTGCGGCAGGCAATCAATCCTCCGACAAACACGCAGGCATACTATGCCAGGGACGCCATCAAGCGACAATCCATCACGATCTTGCCAGAAGAGGACATCTCAAAGTAGGTAGTACTCGTACTCGTAGCCTCAGGTACATACACTCTCGATCATCGCCTCAACCAAGGTACCAACACCAAACCATCACCACCACCACCCTTCCAGAACATCAGCGACCATCACAATCTGTCGTCCAGTGGTAACTGTCTCTCCAACACTCACTCGCCGCTCACTCGGCTACACTCCCCCCTTTCCTTTGGCCAGCAATCATTTGCTGCGCCGCATGAGCGCCTGTCGCTCCATGCTCCCCCCAAACTGCTCAAGCTGCGTCCTGCCCTCGCCAATGATGTCCGCTGCTGCGCGGCTCTCTGCCTCTAGTATCCCCAGCCTTGTTGCCCCTCCTCTTGATCACACCGATGCTACTCATACTTGACGGCGGCATAGCTAGTCAAGGGGGGGGGAAGAGGCGTTCCATCCAGTCAGCGGCATATGCGAGGCACCGCGCCATGCCACGATGCGTCCGCGTTCAAACAGGCACCGGCACGCCCAAGCATCGCGTCCTGTGCCTGGCGTGATTCGAAGTCGACTCGACACCGAAGGAAGAGGAAGAACAAGAAATCGAAAGGAGACGCGAACCACGAAGGAGCCCCTTCCTTTCGCCGAGAGCGACCATTTTTCACAGATCCCCAGCCATCATCATCAGACAGCTGCCCATCTTCACTTCCGACCTCTCATCCCTCCCCCCACCCCCCGCTTTGCACTCGAGCGGGATCATGCAAGTCCTCAGCAAGTTAGTAGGTACACCAGCCATCAAGGCCGTCCACCAGGAAGACACAGAGAAGCTACTAACATGCGAGTAGCCTGTACCTACTTAGGTATGTAGTATGTACATATGTACATGCGCTCAATGCACGGGAGAAGACTGCGCACCAGCACTCCCTCCGGCCAGTTCCCTGTACATACACGATGTGATGTGCTCCTCCTTGCCTCAGGAGATGCTCTAGAGGCCATGTGAGGATCCATATGCTCCCTCTGTGACATGTATGTGCGACGCAACGAAAAGCAACAGTCGCCTGCATCACGAGCCACCGCTCACGACCAGTCCCATGGGGTAGGATAAGACAGTTCAGTAGCACGCAGTGCCACCTCTCTTCCTCTTTGACTGGGTGCCTGGCCTCAATAACGTACTCCTCCATCACATACATACATGAACATACTAGGTAGTATCTTGGCCCGTTCTCAATGGAGGGCAACATGTATCCAGTACGTAAACAAAGCACCACGGCAACGCCCTCCAAGAGGTGCTCGATACGCTGCTTTGACTGCTCTTCCGGCCTACCTACGACGTGCATGAAGCCCGCGACTCGCAATTCGCTGC